ATCAAAAACTAATGATGTCATGTATGGTGATTAACATAACAATAAAAAATTTAAAGAAAAAAATAGAAAATAAAAGAAATGCAGGCCAAAGGGGCTGGGCAAAGCCCATGCTCTCTTGGCACTTGCTTCTTAGAGGAGCACTGATAAGAAATAAGTAAGACAGTTGCAGATAGCACAGGTCGTTCAGGCTCCTGTTTATCTGTGTCAAGGCCAGAGAGAGAGATGTGAGGTTGAGAACAGGCACTGAATGGAGAGCAGGAGGTTTGGGGCATAAGGAGTGGAATTAGCCAAGGGGGCTTTTGAATGTGGTCAGAAGGAAACACAGCTACACACAGCCCCAAATAGACTCTTTATATTATAACCTCAACTTTTGTCAAAAACTTGTGCAAGAATCTGCCACTGTTTGTGGCTTTTAAAAAAATGTTTTTTAAAGATAATGGTCACCACATCATGTGATGCTGTCTGTATAAAGCCTAAAATGAAGCATTTTATTAAGAACTTGGAGGGAATGGTGAGTGCTGTGAATTGTGTAAGACTGATGAATCACAGACCTATACCCCTGAAACAAATAATACATTATATGTTAATAAAAAATTGTTTTTTCAATTTAAAAAAATAGAAGTAAAAAAAAGAACTTGGAGGGAGAAAAAATTCAAATATTCTGATCATGAAAACTATGCTTTCCTTTTTTTATTTTATTTTATTTATCTGAGAGAGAGAGTGAGAGAGAGCATGAGAGTGGAGTGAGGAGCAGAGGGAGAAGCAGACTCCTGCTGAGCAGGGAGCCTGATGGGGGCTCGGACTCGGGGATCATGATCTGAGAAGAAGGCAGACACCTAACCGACTGAGCCACCCAGGTGCCCCGAGAACTATGCTTTCCTTATATCTTCTTGGCTGTCAAGAAGTTTAGAGGAGTATCTGAATCAATTTCTGCAAGTGTATCTGCCCATGTTATAATTTGGAGAGAGTGCTTCAGAGTGATAAAAGTGCTCACATACAATCACACACAATAGGCTCAAATCCCCATTTCCTGCTGTAAGAGGACCTTGGGAATGTTTATTAACCACCATTCTGAGCTAGGTTTTCACCAAGAAGGGAATAGTGATACTTGATAGGTTTTTAATAGGATAATGCACCAAGTTCCCTGCATAGAGTGAACGTTCATAATTATTACCCTTTTTCATATTGCTATTCCTGCTTTCTGTCTGGTCTCTCCCTATTTGTGTACATTTCTTTTGTTGTAAATTTTCTCAAATCCATTGTAGAAAGAGAAAAGTTACATGTAATTTTTTTTTAAGTTCCATTACCTCCCTGATGGCATAACCAGAGCTGAGTGTGGGATAAAAAAGCCTCAGGCATCTACTTACTCAAAATAAAATCTTTTCCTGAACTCAAAAACTATTATGCTCTTCTTCCAGCTAAATAATGCCATTTTCTATAACCTCATCTCATATACTTTGATGAGGTTTCCTTCAGGGCCTCTGTTTTCCACTCATTGTTTTTGACTTCTTAGTGTAGAGGCAATTTTTAAGAACCATTTTCTCTATTATATTTCTCTATTAACCATTTTCTCTATAATGCCTTTTGTCCACTTTCTTTTTATTTCTGAGATGGTCCTCACTCACAGCTTTATATGTTTCAAAACAGAAAAGCTATTAATGACTTTGTCAGAAATTGACACAGCAGAGTCTTTTGTTTTCTTGTGTTCTGAAAAAAAAATCCATAACATGTCCCTTTCCTAGAAGTGACAACTTTTTAAGATTCCATCTCCTTACATGTTTTGTTTTTGCTATGTACTATAATGCATAAGAATAACTTAAAACATTAAACGTGCAAGACCTGTTCCAAGATTTTTTAAAAATCCAAGAACATATCACTTAATTAAAAACATTTTAACAATTTGAGTTATTTAAGTTGGAAAGCAAAATAAGTAAACGAAACATCATTGTTGGATCCTCAGCTACAAATAGGAAACAAGCCAGCAAATGGAATCTTACTCCCTATGAAGTAGGTCACAATGTGATCAGATTGTCTTCAGTGGCTCACTCATTGGATTCACTTTTTCAGGGGTCAATTAAAATCTGTGCTTAACACAGCCCATAACTAGAGACCCTTGCTTACAACCAATAATTGGAAAATTACAGTGTCGCTGAAACTGTTACTAATATTCTTTTGGTTTCCTATCCATGGCTATTACCCATCACCAGGGTAAGGGGAAATAAAAGACATTCGAATTACTTAGTAGAATGGAGAAAAAGCTGGAAGCAATTTAGTGATACTGTTGACGTCCTCCTCAGAGATAATCGGAAAGCCACACTTGCTCTTTGCAGGGAGGAAGGAGAAGGCAGGTCTCTGTCCCATGAGATTTGCCTTAGAGATTAGGAAGAATTGCGAGGTTGCAGGACAGTGAAATCACTGTCTAGGAAGAGAATGGTCTTTTATCCAGGGCTATTTAAAAACAGGACAGATCCTCCTCTATCTCCCACAGTTCAGATGTGAACAGAGAATGATTAAATTGTTTCTTCCAGCTGGATGAGCCTATAGTGTGAGCTTGGAACACTTGTAAATGCCCCGGGGGAAACGTAGCCACAAAGGAATCGCACGTTGGGAATCAACTATCCACCTGCTGCATTCAAGAAGCAGCTGTTGTGAGTCTTTAACAATAACACCTGTCTAGGGACATGATGGCATATAGTTTGTCTCTTTATTTTCTCCTTTCTCTGCACTATCTACTAACTTATGTCTTACTATATTTTATCTATTTTTTAATAGCAAACTTAAACCCTTTCTGCAAAAAGAAGGGGCACCATTGAATAAAATCATATTAATTAAAGTTTTGAGGACCTTTTTTGGTGCCAGAAGTCAGGCCAGTTCCAGGGGATATAAAGAGCAGCGAACACTGGCTTGAAGTCTTCACTGCTTAGGGATGTGTGTGAATTGGTCAACTAACAATAATATAGTAATACTCTCTGCAGGGGAAGGGGATTCCTGTGGGGTCAGAGAGCTGAGGCCCACATTTTGGGGAATCAGAAAAGGATGCAGGGGGAGGTTATAGCAGAGTTGGCGCTGGGGCATAATCTTGAAGCAGAAATACAATTCCTGCAAGTACAAATGGAGAGGGTGTGGACAAAGATGGGGGTGGGAAGGGTGGGGGAGTGCAGTCTAAAAGGAGCAGCTTTGAAACTGCCCTTCTTATTCTGGGCAAATACCATTATTCCAATCCAGTAAATTACTGACAAATGTCTTCCTTGACTGATGTTTCCCTTCTATACCTTTGTTCCCACCACGTGGACAGTGAGCACTAGTGTAATTTGACAGTTTCAGGAGAGTTGCCTGATTTCCAGGGAATTCCAATAAAAATGCCACAGCAGAAGTGTCTTCAACAAGAGAAAAGGAATCTATAATCTTTTTTGAGGCGCCGGCTGATACTACATCGATAAAATTCCCTCAGCCTCAACATTAATGCAAAAACATCTTATTCAAACATAAACCTTACAGATAAAGGGAGCCTTCCCCTCCAAAAAACTGGTATATAGGGTACCTTTATAAATACACTACACTGTTTAAGCTTGGAATTTCAGTTTTGTAAGAAAACTTGCGGGGCCATGACTAGAAACAATCTGTGGATTTGTTGCAGAAGGAATTAAATGTGAGGGCTCTGGGGATGATGTGAGGGCATCCTTGGCCAGTGAGTGGGCCTGGCCAACTGCCCAGGACCTATGTTTCATTGAGGCTTAGTAAAGCAATACCAGTAGTATTTTAGTAGATTTTTATTTCTTGAGTGCCTACTATGCGAAGAGCTTGATTTGCATTACCTCATTAAGTTTTGACAACAACCCATTTAAAATGAGAAAACTGAGGACCAGGAAGATTAAGTAAAATGTCTAGGGATGCACAGGTTGGAATTTGGTAGGTGCTGCACCCACTTTGTTTTAACCTGTAATTATAAATTTGACTCTTTAATTCCAAGTTGTTTTGAATCTCCATAATAATACTATAAGAGTATCCACACAAAGTGTATGTAAACTACAGAAATGTTATGCTCTAGCAACAGCCTTTCTTTTTTGGAGATGTTATGAAGGTCTCTGGACAAAGCCCCCCAGAGGATGGTCATGTTAGCGATGTCCTCTCTGAACTGCCCAGAACCAGGGGGCCTGCTGAGTGCGTGGACGGCTCATGCTTCCTGGGCTTTGCCTCGCTTTCTGAGAGAAGGACTGGTTTCCAGGCAACACCGGGGTCTGTCCATTTTCATACTGTCACAATGACAAGCATTTAAAAAAAAGTAAGACCATATGGTACCAATAGGATGAGATGCTTTCTGAAGTCTGGCTTTTCTGCCTATAGTAATGCCATGGTTACCACCAGCGGGGCCTGAGGAATTCCTAATAAGAGACTCAAATAATGAACGAATAGGCCTGTCACATGGCCATTAAGGACTGAGGTGGAGAATGCCAACACTGTGCTTCATCAGGTTAATGGACTTTTTACAAGTGCCCTGGTCTTAGAGGGTGGAAAAAGCGCAGGCCTAAGTGACTGCTAAACAGACTTATGTAATCTAAAGAGCAGAGCAGACCGCCGCTGAGGCCTGGGCCTCATGACCAGTAAACAGAAACTTGCATCTGATTGATGTGTGCAGTAAGTAACTGTCCCTGGGATCCAAACCGCATGACTCAACACATTTTCTGGTCTTAATCTCCTCTTCTGTTGTCTTTTTGGGGGTTTTGTTTCTGTTTTTGTCTTTTTTTTTTTAAGAGATAGGGAGCGAGCAAGAGCAGGGAGGGGCAGAGGGAAAGGGAGAGAGAGAATCTTAAGCCCCTTGGTGAGCTTGCATTTTTGTTCTTGCCTTCCCTGTGCGAAGCCTGCGGAGGATGCTCTAGGCCGTATTTCAGATCTTCCTTGGAGGGCTGCTCCCTCACAGCTCATTTCTCCCAGCACATCCTTCTTAACCTGTGAAGACCATGATTATGCAGCTGGTGTTAATTGTCTGTTTGCCCCCACAGAATCTGTACCAGAACAGGTTTTTAGGCCTGGCCGCCATGGCATCTCCATCTAGAAACTCCCAGAATCGACGCCGGTGCAAGGAGCCACTCCGTCACAGCTACAACCCCGGCCAGTTCCACAGTATGGCCATTAGGAATGGCCCCCATGGCACCGTCACCATCCCCCGCTCCACCAGTGACACCGACCTGGTCACCTCGGACAGCCGCTCCACACTCATGGTCAGCAGCTCCTACTACTCCATAGGGCACTCACAGGACCTGGTGATCCACTGGGACATCAAGGAGGAAGTGGATGCTGGAGACTGGATTGGCATGTATCTCATTGGTGAGTAAGACGGCCCTTAGCCAGACCAGCTAACGGTGTGCTGCAGACAAAATGGTCTCCGCAGTGTGGTTTGGGTGTTCAACAAGTGTATCATCCACAATTCACTTTTACATATGCTTTAATATTTCAACAAATTCACACAATTTGCAGTCAAATGTGTTATATGCCAAATTCCAACACACTGTAGACCATGTACTGCGGTTTCTCTTGCTATCTCCATTCAATGGAAGAAAAGTGTAAGATGGAAGGGCCAGGTGTGGTTCAACACAAATGTCATTACCATTTGCAAGTACAGAAGCTCTTCTACTTACAAATAAGTTAATAGCAAAAGCCTGTTTTCAAGTCCGTATGTTCGTAAGACCAGAGCAACACCATATACACAACTGATGTGCATCCATCTTTGTGCAGGGAATTTCACTTTGTTTCCAACATAATCATGCACCTCTTCTCACCTGCTCTTTCAACATTCTTACTGCTTTGTATTCAAAAGATGTAACTCGATTCAACGTACAGTGAGCCCAAGCACACCGCAGGCTGGGGAACAGAGTGATAGCTGAGAGGGAAATACACAAGTCTGTATGCTGCAGAAAACAGAGCTCACAAATTTGAAATCACCTGAAAAATAGATTTGATCTATTGTACATGATAGAATCGGGTTGGTGGAAATTGGTGCATTTACACTGGTTAATCAGAAATGAAGGTGTGGTTGCTGGGGAGTCTCTAGAGTCGGGCCTCAAATTCAGAGGAGGCCAGGCCTTCTGCTGTCAGTCTGTGCACGGAGCAATTTACACATTCGGACACACAATGCCTGGTTTAGAATCATGGAATATCACAGGAACCAATGGATTGTTATGAGTATTTTATAACCGTGGACTGTTTTTCTGATAAAATAAAGGGGATCTTATCTATCAGGGAAACATTTTTAGCTCACATAAAGGTTTTGAAATCAGCTTGGCTGGTGTATTTACAATACACACTTTATTATAAAGATGGAGAAATGTAATTTTTTAAATTTGTACACAAATAGTGGTTACTAGCTGAATTGGACTTAGGTACAATTTAATTTGCTTAAAAAAATAGTTCTTGAATAAAATTGTTTGGATACCATCAATCTAAAACAGAGCTTGTAAAATAACAGCCCCCCAAACATATTTTTAGCCTATATTATTTTAAGTTTGATTGGTTATCAACATTGAAAAATGTAGAGATTTCACATTGAAATCCGAATTTCTAGCTTCTTTCACAAAAGCCCTTAACTTGGCAGACTGAGCCCATAATTCTGCTTGGCTTTAGTTCACTAAAGTTAAGCATTGGCTCCTTCGGGTAGCCCGTCTGTACCCTTCAGTTTTGCCACGGTCTCCCTCCCGCCCATCCCTACTTTCATGATGAATGTTACTTGTTTAGCACCTTAGGCAATTAGATTTTTGGCCACAGATCTAGTTTTGAACCAACCCTTTAAAGCTGTATCTTCCTGCAGTTGTGAGTACTAATGCCATTCATTCCCAGGTCAGGGAACCTTTGGAGGAGGAGCCTATGTTGGGGGGAAGGTATGACACCCAAGGACATTCATCCAAAGTGAAGGCAAAAAATGGGCGGATCTGGAGCTCAGCCCTAGATCCGGGCCGGGGGTGGAGGTTTGGGGTAATTGCACCCCGAGAGTTGATGAGGTCACTGTGGATTGTGTAGAAAAGAGCACCAGAAAGCCTCTGTCAGAGAGACGGGCAGAGGATGCACTCACAAAGGAGGTAGAGGAGGGATGGAGACTTAGGACCAAACTAGGAGACCACGTCACAGAAGTCAAGAGAAGGCGGTGGAGGAAGGAAGGAGTGGTCAGCAGCATCGAATGTCGTGAAACTCTGGAAATGAATCAGATCTGGTGTTAACATGACATTTTGATGAAGACAAAAGTAAACACAGCTCATCATCTTAGAATCTTAACTTGACAGTTTGTTCTCATAGTAGCGGCATATATATAACTGTGAAGTTATTTAATTCAAAACGCCAACACTTTCAGCAACATAGCATTTCAGAAATAATTTCCAAATCCAAAATTATCTGTGTCTTTAAGAGCTCATAATTTGTAGGTCCTTAGTAAAGTATCTGTCAGATTTGCAGTGCCTTGCCAAAGATCAAATCACTGATGTAGGCCTAAAATTTTAGAGGTGATGATTTAATTTAATCTGTCATTTTGCCACAGACGTAATACCAATGCAGTGGCTCCCAAGGCCACAGAGCTCCCTGGCCTGGTGGCAGACCCCGTGCTGCCCATAGGGTCAGCTCAGCACATCCTGGTGCAGTATCAGGTAGGGACCATTCTGCATCCACGGACAAATGAAATGCCCATGTGAGGCCAGGTTTGTGATGCTGTCAGCTCTGACTTTCGAGCTTCCTAGGCAAACATGACTGGGGAGAGAGTGAGACACCTGGATGTGGAAGGGGATGTGTAGCCTTCTCACTGACCCCACTTAGGAACCCAGTGAGGGGGCAGGGACAGTAGCTTCACCATTGTTACTATTGTCGGTGAAATCCCATTTGGCTGCCCTCCTTTATGGAGTGGTTCATGAGCTCGATACAGTGTAATGAAGGACTCTCTCTCCTAGTGACACAGAATGGAGAAAGATCACGTGGTTTCAGTGACAGTGTGACGTTGTTTAGAATCATGCCCTACCACTGGCCAGATGTAGGACCCCAGCCAGGTACTATCGAAAGAGCTCCAGGTTTCCGATCTCCAAAATAGAGGGGAAAACAGAACTTTCTTCTAGAATCATTGAGTAGAATTGATGAGACATTGCACATTTACTGCCTGTTGATCGATACTTCATGTCTTGATCTACCTTGTCAGGGAGCTCTATTCTCTGGATGTGTGATAGCAAATTACCTTAATTCCCAAACTTCATCCCAAGGCTGTGTCCTCATTCTGCCCAGTTCTGTAACAGCTGAGATAACAATGGTAACAGTTTCCAAGAAACTTGCAGAGCAAGGAAACAATTCTGATATAAGTTTCACTTCATAGGGCACCTTGCAAACCAAGGATTTTCTCTCTCTCCTGTGTATTTAATATGTAGAAAGTTTAATCATCAGGTATATTCTGATTTTTTTGTCTCTTCTGATTTTTGAGTGGAGTGTGTCAAAAATTGCTAGTAAAAAATTTTTAAATTTTAATCTTAATTTATCTATCTCTACCTTCACTTCTCTAGATTTTATGCTTTGTATATGTTGATGTGAATTGCCAAGTACATAAATGTTCATGATCTTTTTCTTCTACAATTTCTTAGTTTATTATTACAGATCCGTGTTCCTTGTGCTACTCTTTGCCTTGGATTCTGTTTTTTTAAAACTATTTTAAGATTAGTCTCTCAGTTTCCTTCTGCTTCCATATTTGCTTAATCTTTTACTTTTCTTTATTTTCAAACTCTTTTTTTAAATGTAGCCATTTGTGTGTGCTTTTATATTCTGATTTAGGAGTCTCTGGCTTTTAATTGGCCACAATAGCACATTTCCATTATTGTATTTACTGTTATATTAAGATTTATTTTTACCATTTCTTCATATTCTTTACTGCATTTTCTTTTTGTTTTGTTTTTTCTTCTTTCCATTAGATAGATCTGTCAATTTAAAAATTATATTGTTCTTATGATGAATGCTTTTTTTTAAGATTTTATTTATTTATTTGACAGAGACAGATAGCGAGAGCAGGAACACAAGCAGGGGGAGTGGGAGAGGGAGAAGCAGGCTTCCCGCTGAGCAGAGAGCCCAATGTGGGACTCGATCCCAAGACCCTGGGACCATGAGATGCTTAACGACTGAGCCACCCAGGCGCCTGATGAGTGCTTTTAATCATAGACCAGATGTTCTCAGTCAAGGGTGTTTTTGCCCCCATTTGATTATCAGAAGACGTGAGTTCCTCTGAGAAGTGGAAGCCAGGTTGCTTTTTCTTTGTTGGGCTTAGGAGATGTAGGTAGTGGATCAATTCTCCTTTTTAACTGATTCTGTGCTCAGTTGTCCATGCTGCTCTCAACAGTAATAGTCTTTCTGTTGTACACTTTTCTATTACAGACTAGGGTATAGAAGGCATAGCTTCAGTTTTCATTTTGAAGCCAAAGCAAGAGAAGTACACTTCATGTTTCTCAGGTGTGCTGTTTCTGTAAACTTCACTAGAACTTTCTGAAACAAATTTTTAACAACCTGTAAAGATCTTTTCTCTATTATAGACTGTGGAACAGGGAGTGGGATTTTACACGCTAGAAGAAGTATCATTTAGCAAATACAGTCTTTTTTAAGGAACTTAATACATCTCTGTGTGTTCTGTACAGAATGAGTAATGACAAAACTTTAAACGGTACTGGCCTAAGCTAATGTTTCAGGTTATTATTGATGATTTTGCATGTTAATCATAGAGCTTTGCCATAGAGGGCCCTGTTGTTAGCCCAGACTGTAAACAGAAATATCTACTTACTAGTGATGTCTGACACTGTTCTAAGACCACTACCTATCTTCATTCACTCAGTCTTCACAACAGACTTTTGAGGTTGGTATTAATAGTGTACCCATGTTGTAGTGAGGAAGCAAAGACACAGAGGGATTAAATAAGGTGCCTAAGTAAAAGGGGAAGAATGAAGGGGAGTAAGTCGGAGGGGGAGACGAACCATGAGAGACCATGGACTCTGAAAAACAAACTGCGGGTTCTAGAGGGGTGGGGGTGGGGGGATGGGTTAGCCTTGTGATGGGTATTAAAGAGGGCACATTCTGCGTGGAGCACTGGGTGTTATGCACAAACAATGAATCATGGAACACTACATCGAAAACTAATGATGTAATGTATGGTGATTAACATAACAATAAAAATTATTTTAAAAAACTAATGATGTAATGTATGGTGATTAACATAACAATAAAAATTTAAAGAAAAAAAATAAGGTACCTAAGACCACATACCTATTAAAGTAGCCTAGCCTTCCTGCCTCAGGGGGCTGTAAATATCCCTGTAATTACACATACATTGCTCCCATAAAAGGACTTCCACCATGACAAAGAATATGAAAAAAAGAACTTTGGGACATAGGACCCAGGGACTGCCAATCCTCAGGGTGGCAAAGGGTCTGGCTGGGCCCCCACCATCCATTTCAGATCTCTTCTCTTCTCCAGTGCTTTCTTCTAGTGCAGAATCTGGTCCCAAAACTTACATGTTTCAGACTCCTGTGCAAGCATCTTCCACATGCACACTGGTCCCTTCGTCAGGTGCACTTGTGCAAGATGAGGAAGGAGGAAGTGAACCCTGGGGTTCCTCCTACTGGTTAGCCTGTGGCTGCCTCAAGCATGGCTTTGAGAAATTCAGCTTTCTACCGTGATGCCCTGCTGTCCGCTCACTCGCTTCATGGGCAATGTGGTGGTGGCAGGTACGCATTCTGCCACAGGCTTGTCGCTCTCTGCTCACTGGCTACAGCTGCTCTATGAGGTTCTTGAATGCAGCAGTTCCCACGAGTCCTCTCTGAGTGAGGCAGAAGCAGGGCCTTGGAGTTACTCTCTTATTCTGGGGCTGTTCCCAGAGGCCCAGCCTAGAGTCCATTTCTCCAAAACCTAATTCCCTGCATTGAATCCCCTTTTGCATGAAATATCTGGACCGATTCTGTTTTTCTGCATCTGACCCCCACAATACACTTGGATTTCCAAGCAAAGAGCAGTAACTTTTCTAACAATTGGCAATAAATGCCTTTGGGGAAGGAGCTGACCTCTCAGCACAGATGGTCCAGGCAAGAATGTAGACTATTCTATTTTCTTGTGTGGTATTTGTTATGAAGTATTATTACTGTAAGAGAATGGGTTATTTATTAGGACCAACTGACAGTCTCTTAAAATTGTGTTATTTTGCCATCCTCATTTGGTCTTTCAGATTCTTCCCACCTATTCACCCCATCCTTTTTTTTTTATAATTTTTTATTGTTATGTTAATCACCATACATTACATCATTTGTTTTTGATGTAGTGTTCCATGATTCATTGTTTGTGCATAACACCCAGTGCTCAAAACAGAATGTGCCCTCTTTAATACCCATCACCAGGCTAACCCACCCCCCACCCCCCTCCCCTCTAGAACCCTCAGTTTGTTTTTCAGAGTCCATCGTCTCTCATGGTTCGTCTCCCCCTCCGACTTACTCCCCTTCATTCTTCCCCTCCTGCTATCTTCTTCTTCTTCTTTTTTTTCTTAACATATATTGTATTATTTGTTTCAGAGGTACAGATCCGTGATTCATCAGTCTTGTACAATTCACAGTGCTCACCATAGCACATACCCTCCCCAATGTCTATCACCCAGCCACCCCATCCCTCCCACCCCCCCACCACTCCAGCAACCCTCAGTTTGTTTCCTGAGATTAAGAATTCCTCATATCAGTGAGGTCACATGATACATGTCTTTCTCTGATTGACTTATTTCACTCAGCACAACACCCTCCAGTTCCATCCACGTCGTTGCAAATGGCAAGATTTCATTCCTTTTGATGGCTGCATAATATTCCATTGTGTATATATACCACATCTTCTTTATCCATTCATCTGTCGATGGACATCTTGGCTCTTTCCACAGTTTGGCTATTGTGGACATTGCTGCTATAAACATTGGGGTGCACGTACCCCCTTTGGATCCCTACATTTGTATCTATGGGGTAAATACCCAGTAGTGCAATTGCTGGATCGTATGGTAGCTCTAATTTCAACTGTTTGAGGAACCTCCATACTGTTTTCCAGAGTGGTCGCACCAGCTTGCATTCCCACCAACAGTGTAGGAGGGTTCCCCTTTCTCCGCATCCCCGCCAACATCTGTCGTTTCCTGACTTGTTAATTTTAGCCCTTCTGACGGTATTCACCCCATCCTTTTCTCATTTGTGCCCCTGAGCTTCCTTGATATTTAACCCATTCTTTTATACTTACTGTAATCTAATGAAATTGTCTATTTTCTTGAATAAATCCCCAAATTTATTAGAAACTTTCTGAGAACATAGACCATGTCTTGTTTACCAGTGTGTCCCCATGGTTTAACACAATGTGTAAAGTGGAGGAAATACTACACAATTGCCTAACACATGAATGAACGTCCCCTTTCTAGGTATTATTTACGTGGATAACTGATTGTAACTGTTAAAGTGAATATTCTGGTGATCAGAGTGGATAGATTCAAGTAAATACCTCTCCTTAGAGAATTGCCATAATGAGGCAAATCTGTATCTGGATGTGACTTATTATAACTGTACTGAAGACCCAGGGAGCTAGGAAAATATTATGCCCTTTTTGCAGAAATGAGGCAATTACTGTAAAAGACATATTATGCAATCACCTTAGTAGCCCAACCAGGGCTGTGAGCACACACTGTGAATATCAAGACTGGCAAATTTTGCAACCAAGTGATTTTCCAAGGGATGCAAAGAGTTCTTGCCATTAATGAAGCAGACTGTTGTGCTTTGCCCAATCATCTTTGCCAAAGAAGAGACAGCCAAAAATGTGCAGTCAACATGGCAGGTCACAAGCACGTTGACCAGTTATCTTATTTAATCCTCCACTAGGAGGTCCCAGTTGTTAGGACTCCATCCCCTACTTTGGAGGTGATGCCATTGGTCCACGGCACAAAGGGCCTTGAGAGCTGGGTCCTTTAGCTATAAGCCCTGCCCTCTTTGCATCTCATTCTAGCCTGTTCTCCCAGTCCTGTCAGATGCAGGACGTGAACCTCAGGGTATCTTAGTTAGAAAAACGATAATGACCTAGCTCCTCTCTGCAGAGCTGGGGCTTGGGGCCTGCCTTCAGGAGCCCCTGAGTTCTCTCAATTCCTCCCATCACTGTGGTGGATTTGGATTCTTAAACATGGTTTTTCCACAGCCTCAGATCCATCTAGCTCAAGTGGTTACTTTCTGGTGAAGTGGAAACTGCCAGGGCCCCATAGATGATCAAAGTAAAATTCATATCCCTGTCTTAGTCTGCACTGAAAACATGAGGTCTAGAACCAGAGAGGAGGAAGTCAGCTGGGTCTTCAGAGATATGTCCTCTCCGGGAATGCTGTGTTCCTCTCTGGACACCAGCTGTAGGAAGGATATTGACAGTTGCAATGTGATGAGCAGAGAAAGAGTAGGAAAGGAAAAATACATAGTCCCCCACAAGCTCCTCTCAGTGCCACCATACTGTCCCTCAACTTGGGCCCTGGACACCACGTCAGGGCCTCTCTCTCCGCCCTCCACACACCCACCCTCATCTCTACCCTTGTGGCTTCTTTATCCCTCAGTGCTTCCCTGAACCCCTGTTGGCCTCCCTCCTTGAAACTCCCTGTCAGAGCACCCTGTTCTTTTCCTTCCTATCTGCCATCACAAGTTGTAACAATACCTTTATTTCTTTACTTAGTGTTTAAAGTCTGTATCCTCAATTGTTTGTAAGCTTTCGTTCAAAAAGGACCATCTTGGTTTTGCCCAACCATGGCTCTTGCATTTTCCCCAGCATAACAGATGGTTCAGTCTCAATAAATATCTGTCACATGAATGCATGAGTGCATGAAGGATGGGTGGATAAATTCATGAATGAGTCTCGGGTATTACAGGATGATAGGTATTCAGGCTGGAGAAGAGATGCTATAGGTTGGGGCCTATGATGACTGGGACCCAAATAGAAAATGTGATTGGATGTTTTCTTTATGGCTCATTCACAGACCCCAGTAGAGAACAGCTACTTAAAGTTTTAGGAAGAAGATTTTCACACTCAGATTTCACACATGTAAGGGCTATTCAAAAGTGAAATGGACAGCCATAGGAGCAATTATTTTCTGTCCTTGGAAGTGTTCATGAACTAGCTAGATGATCTTGGGAGTATTGCAGAGTGGGGGGGAGATTCTTGCATTATGAAGGGGTTGGTTCAGAGGGTACCTGAGGATACTTCTAGCTCTCCGATTCTGATTCCAGGTGCCTTTTCTTCTGTTGAGTTGGAGGTAGCATTAATATCTTTTTTTTTTTTCTAAATATGCTGTTAGCTGATATATTTTTCTATTCTGCTTTCTTTCTTTCCTGGGAATATAGATGAGGTCTTGTCAGAAAACTTTTTGGACTATAAGAACCGTGGAGTCAATGGTTCTCATCGGGGCCAGATCATCTGGAAGATTGATGCTAGCTCTTACTTTGTGGAACGTGAGTACTTTTCCCATTCTTGCTGCTCGGGATAAAACAGAGTTCAACTGATTTGTTCTTTGTTCTGTTGCATTGCATTCCCTTAGAAATATGCCATGTTAAAGAGCCATAGATTTATGAAATGCTTAAAAATAGTAAGAGGTGAGCTCTAGAGCAGTTGGGCAACAGCCATCCAAACCAGCCCAGGGGGCCATTTCTTTTCGTTTCAAAGAGAAGCTTGGCTCATGGTCATTCATAGGCCTCTGGATTCAGGACCTTTTGACTTAGATCCCTTAACTTTCACTCTGTGGCTCCTCCAGGTGCTCTCTAACTTTGGAATAGTTGCCCCTGCTGTATCCAATCATCCAGTTTTGGCTTTGCTTGAGTCAGTTCTTCAAGGCTCCCTGCTCATGGCCCCATCATGTTGGGGATAGTCCACGCTTTTCCCTGATCTTTGACTCTGGCCACAGTTCCCCAGGATGCAGATAATACATTACTACCACCAACCTATTTCTTTGATTCCTGATCTACTGACATTTCTGGGTGTATAAACTTGTCATCGTGTATTTTACTGAGCTATTTTCTAAAATTTTTATCTGTCTTCGATTTTTTTCAAAAAAAATTATTTTTACAGTTAAAGAAGGATTCTTTTCATAGGTCCCCATACTGGTACATTTCCCATTGCACAAAGAAATAGCCATGTGGGCCTCATGTTTACCAGCTGAAGGAATGCAGAGTTTACCCTTATCTACAAGTCCCTTCCCACATGGGTACTGGAGAGTGCGAAATGCACAAATCCCTTTCTGCACCTTCTTGCTCACAGCAGGGATTCAGTGTAGCACTTCTGAAAGGCAATGATGAAATACTCCCTTGTTCCAACCATCCAGTTCTCAGAGAAAAGCATATGTGGCCAGGAACCTAAAGTTGTCTATTATCATTTGACTCATTCAAGAAAAATTATATGCTCTCTATATGCTCATGTTTTGCTCCCATTTTTATTCACTCTCATATCTATTCATCCACTCAGTAGGCATTTTATAAGACCTACTATATTTCAAAGATCAGAGATTTGAAAATGAAAGGTCTAATGTCTGCCCATTAGAAGCTTATGGTATCTCTCCTAGAAATGACACAAGTGCCCCCTTCTTTTGCATTAATTAGCCACATGTAGAGTGTGTAGACAGTCAGGAGATTTGATACTATCAGATGTAGAGGAGACATGATTTTATGAGATGTGGTTGGGCCCTTGACTTTGTTTTAGTCATAATGAAGTTCCCAACAAGAGATTTCCTTTTCCTTAATATTTATGTCCCTGACTCTAGCTTTTCTCCTCCTAATCCTTGATACCAGACAAAATGCCTTGAACTCAATTCTGATACCATTTGCCCAAAAGCCTCATAGCTCTGCTTTCTGACTACATGAACTGAAAATTCTCTGCCCTGCTACCAAGACCAAACAAGACCCACCCTCACTCCTCAACCCTGCTTCTCCATCCTCCCCAGCATGCCCTCCTTTGCCCAAGTCATGCCAGTATCTTCCCCATTCCACAAATAGCATTATTTATCATAAAGGACATAGATGGGCTTGATTTGGGGATAAAGATGCGTTCCAGCTCATGGTACCTGATATGATTTCCCAAATGGCAGTAAGAACAGAAAAGGTAAAAACTTGCATTAGTAATGAATATTAGACATAATAGCTGACAGTATGCCCCAATCTACATTGGAAGATGGGTGGAGAGGCCTTCTTTACTGTTCACCTATTTTCTTCTTTGGACTTCTAACTAATTGAGGAAAAAACCATGTAGGGTCAAAAGGTAGTATCAGCTCAAAATGGTTCAGGAATGAACACATCCTACAAGTATTTGTCTTTTTAGAGGCAAGGAAATAAGTATTAAGAATAATGTGAATTTTTATGAGCTAATGTAAAAAAGAGGAGCTTGTGTATAAATTAATCTGGCAATAGTGCCATTCCTTTCAAGGCAGTTCTTTTCAAGATTTCTGTGACATATAGAACATTTTTTGTACATTCAAATAACAAACCATTTAATATAATTGTCTTCATCAGAAGTATGAAGAAACACTTTAAGTACCATTAGAAAGATATTATAATATAAAACCAGCTCTGTAAATTATGTAAAATATTGTCATAACTGAGTGAAAGTATATTCAAAACTTGGTTAAGTAGCAATGTCCTCGAATAACCAATGTCTTGCCAACTCATAGTCAAAAAACTAAAAATTGAACACTTTAGAAAAATGACATTTTACAAATGTCCTGGTGCAAACTTGAGAAGATCTCACTTGGCAGTACACCTGTTGGGCTAGCAGTATCTCAGTGCCCTGGACAAATGGATGAAAGTGAAATTGAGATGGTGGTTGCAAATACATCAAACTCGTGTTCAAGATACAAAGAATGTATTATTCTGTACAAATGTAATATAATTTGTCAAAAACTAAAAATTTATCAAGAAAACTTAATTGAATTTGTAAATGATTAGAATATTAACTCAGGGCACACATATAAATCAAATAAATTAGAATGCTGTAATGGATTATAGCTTTAGGAGTCTGAATGCATTAAAACTGTATATAATATGCTATGTGAATTTATATTTTTAATGTGAAATAATTGATATTTTCAAAAATGTATGATTGAAAAAGTGCCAAATGAACAAATAGGAAGGGATTGAATGTACAAAATGTTCTAATATCGCTATCCTTCATTAATGCAATAAAGCATCAAAGGTCCTCTTGCTAAAATAAAAATGCAGAAGCCAGGCCATTATCCAGAAGGTTACAGACGTTTTTGATATTAATAAAAATAAGACCCTTGCAGTCTCTAAACAGTAATAAACACAATCTAATTGGCAAATTATACCTTCTTAAAATTAAAAATTATGTTACAAACGTTGCACACTGGCCAGATTTTAAATGCTGAAATACAACAGAAGCCCGTTCTTTCTATCTGAAGATTAAATTAAAATAATAAATGAGGTTTTTATTTTATTTTTATTTTCTGTTTTTATTTTTTCCGTTTATAAGAGTAGAAGTATATCACTGATTACCTGGAGTCTATAATGTTCTAACAGTACATTTCTTTGGGGTTATGATTCAATTTAGAATTAGGTAATTGCTGTTGATTTATATGATTTTTTTAAAGGTCTGACTAAATCAGATTTTGAAAAGTATTACTAAATTAGGAAACTTCAAAACAAATATTTCCTGCACTCTCCAAGGAGTTACATGCATAATAAAACACAAAAGAAATAAAACCTGAATTGTTTCCTTCTCTCTGGCATAAATTTTCCCTGGTGGGCCCTTGGCTGTTTGACTATAGTAATAATTGCTATAATCTGAAAACTGCAAAAAGATGCAAATTTTAACCCTGACAAAAGAAAGAACTAGTGAAGTTTTAGCCTTCTTCATCCTGATCAAATCTTACAATGTTGTATCATTATTGTAACCCCATTACTATTTTCTGATATATGCAGTCAGGCTAAGAGGGGACCAGACTCAAGCCTCAGGAGTCACCACAGCCCTTGCTGATTGTGTGCTGCTATCAGAACTCCTTCAAAATTGGGGCTTGCATTGCCCAGAAGCAATGATTCTACAGGGAAGCCATCTTTTTCTTGATCTCTGGCCCAAATCTGTTCCAAATAGCTTTCTGTCCACTGAAGCTCCCCATCAGTAGCAGGAAGAATAGAGTAGTGTACCTTCAGCCACCACTGATTACGGCAAAAGAGTTTCTCCAAAAGGGACCTTCTTGGGTTGGGTCATGTTGTCACTGTCATGAGCATGGCCTTCTCACAGCTGTCTGGGTGTAAACCAGAAATCCGCAGTCCTTTTTGACTGCTCTGCCTTGCCTTGGTTTCCTGCCCCTGCTCAGGTCACTGGTCCTGCCCCACGTCCACTCTGGCCCCTCACATTCAACCTTTTCCCATTTCTGCCCTCACTTCCAGAGTCACACCTGATTACTGCTTGCGCTGATTCTGTCACCCAGCATTTGTCAAAAGAATGTCCCTCAAACATCAGCACATTTCCAGTCCATTTCCATCCATCATCCCAAAGTTAAAAAACACAACACGGTGGCCTCTGATTATACTTAACAGCAAATCTAAGCACCTAGTCCTGCTGTAAGTTTTTAACGACACCCATTGAGTATGGTGAAGTAAAATTTATACAGGCGGGAGGGGGTCAGGATTTGCCTCTCAGTCCACACTTAGGCAAGGGGCTTCCGAGCAAGAGGTATGCGGGCTCAGCACTCACCCCGGTGTGGCCCATTCTGTCCCTTCATCTATAAAATGAAGTTAATGTACAGCACCAATAAGGCAGCCCCATGAAGATGAACTGATTCACCCTGTGAGTGCCAGATGTGTCTGGTATAGCCACGTCTGCTCTGTAAGTAGAAGGCTTTGAATTAGGGATTGCGGTGCCACTCTGAGAGGGGTCAAATCAGCAGCGTCCCTTCCACTTGGCATTTCTCTTCAGGGAATGGCCAAATGGGTGTCATGGTGATGACTGTGAACTGAATGGCTTTATTTGGTGAGTTTTCTGTGGGAAATGCTTTGCAGCTAGGGTTGAAGACCGAAGGACACTGAAGGAAAAGCAGGGCTCCAGGAGAACTAGCTGGCTTCCCCTCATTAGCATTTCTGGCACATGCTTTCTCCTCTCCGGCAATGCAACGAGGGCAAGGACGAGCCCTGCTGGAGCTGGGAGGCCACCCAGATCCATGATTAGACACAGGGATCTTGTCGGGTCGACAATCCAGATGGTTCAGGTGACACATTGTTGCAGCCTTTTATTTGAATGTGGGCATGCTTTCACCAGGACTGCTCTGTTGTTAGCAGCAGTATGGCAAAGAACTATACTGTGGGCTGCCATTTTCAATCACTGATTTGTTATTTCCAAGGAGATGTCTCCATTTGTAGTACAGTAAACATTTGAGTCATAGGCTCCAAGCCCTCAAGAAGTCTCAAGTCTACTTGGGGAGACTAAACATAAACCCGGCCCTCACATGGCC